ATTAATTAAGCTTAGGAAAAACTGAAGGCACTCTGAAGACGGGAACTGCTCAAGCGTGTTAAAAGAACAAACTGAAAATTATCTATTACCTTTTTAAGCAGGGACAGTGCTGAGTTTTCAAACATAGCTGGATTTTCCCTTGAAGTTATTTCCTTAATCCAAGCTGGCAGAATGCTACAAACTTTATTCTGCAGCCATTTTATCTTACTTGCTCTTGCAACAAGTCCAAAATCTTCAGAACAGTTTCTCTATCTGTGACAAGCTGTTGTAAATTTTAGCTTTAGATTATGTATGTGTATTTAGATTATCTATATGCATATAGTTTATATGGACTATTTCTGTAGGCAATGTTGTCTAGTAATTGTTTTTTTAATTCCCTGTGTCGCTTTTCTTGGCTGAACTAAATTTCAGGAAAACTATATTGTATGTCCAGTATTAATTTATTACTTTTAAATTTCTTTATTCTTGAATCAGGTAATCAGATTTAATAGACTATATAAGCACCTTCAAACTTTTACAAGAGTTTTATAGTATTCCTATGTGCAATGCTTGTCTCCTTTTATTAATATTTCCATGCTGTAGGCTTTTACTTAGTTCACATAAGTGTTAGATACTATACCTAATTTATATAACATGAACATAAGTAGCAGCATACCAGTATCTAAAACTAGGAGCTCCCTTGTTTATTTGGAATTGACCCTATTACTGCCCCTGGATTATGTGACTTTATTTAATCTAGAAAGGGCCCTTTTTCCTCCTCTGTTTTAATGATTTGGGAATGTTCAGCAATGATTATATTGTGATCTGGTAGTTTGGGGTTTTTTTGTGGGGTCGTTTCCCCCCCCCCCGCCCCCGCCCTCCCTCGCGCTTTTCAGTCACAAAATAGTCTTGCATCGCCATGTTTAAGCTCATTGTTAATTTCTTTTATGCATGCTCAGGTCTTCTGGGACCTTTGAGTAAATGATCTACTTTTAAAATTCGAAGTAAATTACTTTCTCTTGTGTAAGTCATGTTTACTTTACTGAATTTTGACACCTGAAGTATTTTGATACTAGAAAATCCCAGTGGGCATATGATTCCTTTTAAATATAAAAGGTGGTTAAATTTAGGCAAACTAGACCAAAAAAAATTACAGGAACCCGAGTAAAATAGCAACAGTGTATAAAAAAAGCAATTTTTTTTTTTTTATTTTGCAAGACTCTTTACAGTGGTGCCAACATCAAGCATTTAAAAGAGATGTTTTTTTTTCTTTTTTTTTTTTTTTAAACACAACTTGTAGATACTTTTTGAAGAGCTTTTTTTGTGTGTTTATTTAAATTGTGGGCATCTTTCCAAAAATGTGTGCAAAATACTTTTTTTAATAGGAGGTCCATGCATGTCACATGACTCAAGGAGGTGGGACTTTAAGAGAAACATCAAAGTGAGACTGAGAGCACAACCAAGGTCCGGCAGCCACGTGCTTATGATGGGAGTGTTCAGCTCTGAGGTGCTGAGATACATCTCTTCCCGTGGCTTACGCGATGAACGCGCATTTTTAATTTACAAAGCAGTTCATCTAAATATAGGGGGTATACTTATGACCTTTCTGAAAGTTAATTTTTGTTTTTAGAATTGATCAAAAGTGTTCAGTATAGCATCACTTCAGTCTTTATAATGGCTGCTGAAAAGATTTTAAAAAATGTATGGATCCAGCAGCCCGGCACTACTAAAACCAGTGAGAAACTTGCATTTATTTCAGTGGCCTTTGACTCTGGCTTGCAGAACCACCTGAGATGGTAGTTAGAAGTTTTGCAGGAGGTTTGAGGTTGGGCTGAAGCAGTCTTGGCTGTTAAATTCGGATTAATTCTCTTGCTGCATGGCAGCATCTCTGTACAGTGACACCTTACAGGGCTGCAGAGATTTGAGCTACTGCCCTTCAGGTGTTGGAAAGATGGATGTGACAAGTTATCAGATCTGGTAATTTAAATTTGGCCAACGTGTAGTTCCAATGTAGTGGTTTCAACTTCATTACCAGTTTTCACTAATGACACATTTTGTCGCTATTATTATTTTAAAAGCACTTTCTTTTAAATCTCATTTGGTAGTAGAGTCATATGCCAGCCACAGTTTCCACTGTTTCTTCACACTGCAATGAATAAGAACACCACACTTTGTGTAACTGAGAGACAAATAAAATGCAGCATTTTACTTGGAGGAGAGCGTGTGTAGAAGAACCACATACTGGTTTTTTTCATACATAAAAATGTGAATGCCCATCTGAAAATTTTGGATTCCATGGTACTGCACACCACAGAATGAACAAGAGAAAATGAGACTCTGTAAAGATGAACCTTTACAGGTGCCAGCACCTTCTGCCGCTGTTGCCTCCTGTTTGGAAGGGGTCTATGGCTGAGTCAGATGTCGTAGAATTACACAATTTTAACTTTGGACATATTCTAGATCTTTGTGTTATATTCTTCCCAATTAAACACCCTGAGTCTTCCTTCTGCCTGATTTTCATTTGTCTCCTTGATTGAGGTTTTTTTTCTTCCTGGCTACTTAGTGCTCAGTTTCAAGAGCAGTCTGAAGAGTGGGAGCGTGGTGTTCTCCAGCGTGCTGCGTGGCGTAGTCCTCGGGTTCCGCTCCTGCAGAGAAGGGCGGGATTCTGATTTCCTTCTGGCTGAAAGCTATAAACACTGGGCTGTAGAGCCAAAGCAGCCATGGGATGGGATAAACCAGACAGCACTTGTCTAATTTTCTCCACTGTCCCAGGAGAGTTGCGCAGGTTGGGTGCCTTGCTGTCGAAGCTATCGCTAGCTCACTAGGGACACGGGCACCCGTTTCCCTAGAAGGGGCAATTCAGGGCTATGTGAACAAGTGAAGCCTGCAGACGCTTTTGAGATGGATATGGAAACCTTAATGTATGTAAGCACCTGCAGGGTTAGTCAGTCCTGGAGCGCCAGCGGGTGGGATTTTTCTCTGGGAGTTCTGTGCATAAAACCTAAATCTCATTGCAGACAGATTCAGTCTCACCCTGTGTCACTACTGTAATAGTTAATCCATCAGGAAACATGAACTTTCATTTTATTTTCACTGGGGTTTTAATTATCAAAGTGTTGAGGAGCAAGTTACAAGGATAGAATAGTTTTATAGTTGATTATATGTGAAATTTAAGCAGATCTGGTGGATCAAGGAAAAGAAGGCTTACTCTATTTAAAGTATCTCTTATTTGACGGGAGTGGTTGAAGTTAGGATTTTCTTTCTTCTGAATGGCACACATGAGTTGTTCCTGAGCAGTTATGCCACAGTCTAAGCTTACTTTGAACTTTCTATTCCATTTTCCAACAACCTTCAGGTTATTCTGAAGTAAATGTATCTGCATTAACAGAGCAGAAATACAGGTCTGATTGTAAAGAGTTTTTTTAATTTTCTGAATGAAAATGTTTTTGAGGCATAAACTGCATGATAAAAATAACCATTTGTGCTGAAGTTCTAATAGTCAGGAAAGTTGGAGCCAAGAGTCCCATTCAAACCTCTGCCTCTGGATGTCAGCTCAATCACTGACTGTGTCTTGCTAGGCAAAGTTCAGTATTATTTTTCTATCCATGCAAAATTGTAGTGGTTTGAGTCGTATTCTCCTCTTGCAGTATTTCTGAAGCATAAACAAGTGCAGATTTAAATAAAAGCAAGATTCTGAGAGAAATGAATGTCAACCACCAAAAATGCTTGGACCACAAAAAGAATGTATCTGGAAGGAACTTTTTTTTCCAGAATATTTTACTGAGAGGCAGTAAAAAGACACAAATATTAAATAATCTGATCCCATAGGTGCTGTATGTAATTTTGAAAGGGATATATAGTGCCAGGAAAGGCATGTGAAATCATGTTTACTAATAAATATCTCAATTATAAGTTTTAGGGAGATAATAGGCATAATAACGATAGGTAATATATAACTTACAACAATGTTCTTTACCAGTAGAGTATCTTGTAAATCTGTCCTTGTGATGAACAGCAGCACTTACTCAGACTAAAAATAATAGCAGGACCGTGTATCTTGGATCCCAGGAGACTGTTGGTGTTTTTGTAGACAGCAGACAGGAGAAAAAGGCATTTTGTCCTTTTTACCCCAAGTAATCCCACTGGAAAATTAAACATGTGCTATGAATTGATATCAACTCATGCCAGGTTACCTCCCTAAAGAGGGCTGCTGCAAACACTGTTGCTACATTTCTTGGACAGCAGTTTGATGGCTTGTGTGCATGATGGATATTTTATGCTGTATGCTACTGTGGAACAGTGTGCTACTGTCTGCCCCTCCGAGACTGCTGGTGAGGTGTGCCACAAATAACTGGGAACAGCGATTGCTTTAACCCTACGGAGAATCTCAAATACCTGTAAATTAAAAATGTAACTGAAATATTTCTGTGTGCATGTGTGTCTGGGAAAATGGTTGGGTTTGGTTTTTAAGGTTTAAACCTGCAAAACAGAGCAGTTCCTTTTGTCTTGCTGTGGATTCCTACTGAACACGGGATAAAAAAAAAATATTAAGCAATATATTAGCAAGAAATATTTAGAGAAACCACGAACCTTTTTTTAATGGACCACCCTATCCAGTTTCTGTTCTTTTAAGGAAGTTTTTCCTATTCATGACTCATTTCACTCTTTGGCTAACATCAAGGGAAATGGAATAACGATTAAGCAAAGGAATGTATGTTTTTTTCTGGTTTTGTCCTTTTTTCAAAACCTTTATGAATTTTCTGCATAACCTTGTGTAAATATATATGGATGTAGAAGCTTGACAACTGTGACAAGGTAAAAAGTACACTGCTAATACTTGCTGCTTAGTAATTTTTTTAAAATGTTCCTTTTGGTTCTACGAGCTAATGTTATGCTGGATACTCCAGACTGCCTGTTCAGTGAAAATGACATGCTCCAGGCAGCCAATTACACAGAACTGTTAAGTGAAATTAATGAGATCACCCCCAGATTACACTTTGTGTTTTATTTTCATTTTATAGGTCTGTACGAGCTGCTGGCTGCATTGCCAGCCCAGCTGCAGCCACATGTGGACAGCCAGGAAGACCTGACCTTCCTCTGGGATATGTTTGGTGAAAAAAGCCTTCATTCACTGGTGAAGGTAAACCACATTTAAGTCAGTTTCTCTTTCAGAAGAGCATCTGGAAAAATGTTTTGAGCGCCATCTAGTAAACCAGTGACCAAACTGTTGCTCAGTGAAAACAAAACAGCCTTGTTTTAAACTGTTTCTGTCAGGGGTGGAAGTTGTTAAATAAGATTCTACCAAAAATACATAGATGATTTCATTTAAGAGTGATGTTTTGGCAGTGTAATGCTAATGCAGCAAACATATGTTGTTTGCCCTTGTTTAGAAAAAAAAAAGAGTACGAAATAGTAGCAGGAAATCTGAGACTTCTTTATGGTCAACATTCAAGACCTGGAGTTTAGCTTAAATAAATAAATGTTCACAGCAAAAATTAGAAGGAATATATTTTCTGAGGTCAAGTATGGCAACAGTTCAGTAGCCACATTAATTTAAAATAATTTCCTTTAACAAAGTCAACTGAAATTCTAGTAAGCTGTTTCTTTTATTGGCTTGCCTCCATTTAAAATTGTGTTTTGCACATAAATATGTTGGACTAACGTACAACCTAAAATAAGTTTGGAAGAATACTTGAGTAAAGTGTCCTGCTATGAGAATGATCAGCAACAAGAAATCAAAGCATGCCACGGGAGTATGCAGAGCTACCTCGATAATGTTAAGGCTGCTTATAGCAGAAAAATGGGACCAATCAGCTGGTTAGAAATGTTCCACTCCTACAAAATGGTAAGTATGTCTTCAGTCTCCAGTAGAGAGCTAATTCAAGCTGGAAGGAAATTTTGAGGTCTCAAATGAGTCAGTAGGTGGTAGTAGCCCGTGCCGTGAATATATTCGGACTTGCACATAATTGAGCAGAATTTGTTACCCTTGTCAGTCGTTGGTCTAGAAGCAGCTTAAAATGGGGATTATTTCAATGTTAGGTTTTAAGAGTCACCTTTTCCCATTTCTTTCAGCTATCTTATTCCGGAAAAAGATGTAATAATGTTGATACATGGCCAAAATTCTTTTCCAATTGGCTGAGAATTTACGTATAAAATAAACGCAAGTACTCTCTGGTAGTTGATACACAAAGCAACAAACAGAGGAACAGTGCTTGGCAACACTTGCTTGCCTAAAGAATTTCATCAAAGTTTCTGAAATGCGGTGATTTCCAGACTCCATACTGCTTTGCTGCAGCAGTCTGTTCAGGTGGCTCAGAAGATCACAGAATATGGAACACTGGTTTTGTTTCTAATATAGGCTGACAGCAAAATGTTAGGTCAGCAGATAAATCAGTTTTCTTTCTGGATTGGGAGTTTAAAAAGGCTGTCTTGAAAATAAGCGTCGATCTGCAAAACATTGCAATTTCAAGGTTTGCTCTAATTTTCTGTTGAGGCAAAACCTAAAAGAAGACAAAGACAGTGCAACAGCAACTAGTTTACGCACCTTGAGTATAGTCTCAGTTTGGAAAAGTTGGCTCTCCTGGTTGCGTGTCCTAGTTACCATGTTGTTTGTTATTGCAGGGTGGATTGGTCTTTCTGAGTTTAACTAAAAAGAATTCATGAGGAAGCTTTCTTGAGGCAGATAGAAATGGTCACTTTATTGCAGTTACAACAAGAAGGCACTGAAGTATTCCAACCATCTTTATTACTTATCTTGTTGGTTTTAGGTCCAAGTGTTAGATGTACTTGTAACTCTGACCCTGTGAACAGTTATTTTAATGTCCTATTAAGTCTCACACTATCTTAAAACAGACTTAACTTCTTGAAACTGCATCTTTAGTGTTCATTCATTGCACTTCTTTAATACTAACTGCATTCAAAAGACAAAGGTTTTTAATTATAAGAGTTGAGACTATTAAGGGCATGAGGTCTGATCCAGAGCGTATCCCAGGCTATTGAACCTCATCTTTTGTTTTCTGTGGTGGTCAGTTACAGAAAGTAGGGCATGAAGAGCTTTCAAAAGTTTATCTGGTTTGTATCCCTGCCCCAAGATGGGCTTAACTGTATCTGAAACTCCTGATATTTGTTTGACCTTTAGCACATTTTTTAGCAGGATTATTCAGTATCCTATCAAGTTTCAGAGAAGGCAGTCCATAGCCATTTTGGAAGAGAGCTGTAAGAGCAGAAGAACGAACCCCATCTGCCATAGTTTTTCCCTGTTACAAGGTTGCAGAAGTGCCAAATCTTTCTTTCTGGGTTCTGGTGTCTTATTTGAAAGACTGTTTTTCCTAGCAATAACTTCTTAAATGCAACTGTACTTGCAAAGACAAATGTTTTTAATTCCTCAGGCAGAGAATGATGACAGATATTTTGTAATAAAAAAAAGAAGCACTAGCTTAGAGCCAAGGATGTTGTGATCCTGGTATGTGTTAGTTTTGGAAGAAAATGAGCATGGGTATACTACTAATTAGGCACTAATATTTCATTATTTCAGATAGATACACCACTTAATACAAATTTCTATGCTGATCTTCTTGCCTCACTGTTTAATACTTTAAAATATTAGAAAATAGTTTTTTTCTTAAGCTATAAAATGGATAAAATGCTCCAAATTACTTGAAATGTTTAAGTATAAACTGAAATTTACTTTTTCGACAGCTATTAGTTTTATGGGTATTTAATTATCATAGTGTTTTCTGTATGGTTGTATACTATGGCATATGGTTTGCTATTCTGGCTCTCTTAATATTGAAAAGAAAGGAAAAAGAAAAAAAAAAAAGCCCTAAACCTTGTCTTGGAGTTCTCTTCATTCAATATTGTTGGACAGAAATCTCTTTGTGAACTTGGATCAGCCTGAGCTGTTCTAAGAAGTCAGAAATGGAAAAGTTGTATTAGATCATCCAGTCCATTCCCCTGCAAATACTGGATTGTTCCCTACGGTACATTCCTATTGTAGTAAGTAAAACCAGCAAAAACTGATGCAACTGTTCTTGCTGTCCTTTTTCTCAATAAAGGAATCTGTTGATTAGGTTTTAGTTTGCAAACTATAGAGAAGAGGGAACCCACAACCATTGTTGACAGTTTGGAAGAGAAAACTGGCTCTGGATGGTGAATGTTTAAAATTTGTCTCTGCTTCCCTCAATTTGTTACTTCCTTGTCTTATTACACGACTCTCTTAAGTTCTACCAAAAATCTTCAGCCATCTCATTACTTTTTCTATAGCAGAGATCCCAGTAATTCTGTAGAGATTTATAGAAAAGAAACATGAAGAGATGATCCTTCAGGCTAATTATGAGCACTAACATAGCTGAAACCTGAAATAGTACACATGTGCTCTCCTTGGATTTTTTTTAGAGGAGCAGAAGGGATAAATAAAGATCTGTTCTAACTACTCTTTTAGCTTATTTTTAGAGGAGCTGCAAGAATTTCCATGTGTGTTTGCTTGCTGTTAGCGCACCGGATACAGGTTTTACTGTTTGTTTAGCTCCGAGATGAAGCTTCTACTTGCACTGTCACCTTCAGCATTTCTGGTTGTGGATGTAATGCTCAAGAATTGAGTAAGCTTATCTGTTGGGCTGCTACTGAAGTATTTCTTAACCAATTGCATTTTAATGATTGGTTTTGGCCAGCTCGGAGCAGGCACAGTTCTTTAGCCAGTACTGTACTTTGCATTATGAAAAAGAAGCCACAGCAAGTGGTATCGCTGTTCCCTTGATAGGGAAGACTTTGTACATCCAAAAAGCAGTATGTGGCACTGGAAAAGAAAATAACTGCAAAAGTAAGGAATATTTGGTGAATCTAGTCTGATTTTTTATAACAGCATAGTATTTTGGTAGCTGGCCCTGCAAGACCTTAATTTCTGCTAAATTTCTATTAGTTTCACCTGGATATGACTTGGCTTGAAGTTCTGAGAAATTATTTTGTGTGTGCTAATGTTTGTCTGTATTGATGGCTAACAGGTTTTTCTAAGTAATCTAATATCTAAAAATAAAATAGCTGAGTCTATCCGGGTGTAATTTCTTTGGCATGTCAATTGAATCATATGACTACATAGCCAAAATTTTACAATGATTGTGGTGTACTGGAAATTTTCAGATTTTTCAATATGTAGATGCTTTCAGCCTACTGTGGTTCCTTTGGTAATGAGAAAAATAAAGATAGCATTTTAAGAAAAGAGTGGAATAAGACAAAGCAAAAGGGATTGATTTGACACATCTTACAGTGGTAAAATCAGTGATCTGCAGATGATGGGCTAAATCTTCGGTCTTGACTTGTACAGGCGTAGTTCATAGGCAAGTTTATATATGCTCTGTTAGTTTTTACCGAGAGCTTCACACACAAACTCCATAAAAAAAGCTGTTAATCTGTAGGTTGAATGACTTTGCATCTACTGTGCAGAATCAGACAATCTCAGTAAGATTTCATGGCCTGTTTTGTGTTAAAGGATAGAGTAACTCAGAACTGCCCAGCCTTTCACCTGGGAAGAGCTATGCAGGTTCTTTTGGCAGTCGTGGAGGGGTTGTGTGGTGCAGCTTCCCCTACCCTGTAATGTGTCAGACGTTCTGCAGCCAACATCCCGGTGCGTGCTGCACAGATCATGTGCGGTCACCTCCCGCATTCTGCATCCAAATGATGATCCTGCCTGGGCATGTGCTCAAGTGTCCCCACATTTGGATCTTCTTCTCAAAAGAATGTAGAGGAAAAACAGCCTTCAGATTATATGAATTGTTCTGATGAGTCGTGTGTGACAACTAATTGTTCTGAACTCATTGTTCTGATTGTTTAATTGGGATGACCCATAGATGGAGGGAATGATACCTGTGTATGTGTCAGAGGACCCGGAGGGTGGTGGTGGCTGTGGAGGATGTGTTAGATAGTGTAAGACCTGAGCATGACATAAATGATATGGAATGCAGGCTGGAGATTGTGCTGGGATAGAGTTGGCTTTCTTCATGGAACCCCTGTGATGTTAATGTTGACTGCTTCCGCGCTTCAAGTTTGAAGCTGACAGTGAAATAGTTCTTGCTGAACATAGAAAAGTTATTTACTTTCTCATTACTTAGTTCTTCTTGTACACTTTCTCTAGAACTAATATTTATA